AATTGACTGTTTGCAAAACTCTTCCACCCAGCGGTCATCATCCAATTGTAGTTTGACGCTGTAACTAGATATGACAGGCCTGTCAAGCTTTGCCTTTATCTGTTTGTTAAAGTGTTATAACGCTTAAAAAAAAAAAAGATGGTTTCTTATTTGAACCCGCTCAAAAATACAACAGCAAAAATGTAGAATGAGTGTGTCTGTCTGCTCTAACAGGAGCTGCAAACATTAGCATGTGCAGATCTCTACCTTGCAATATACAGTACAGTAATCTAACCCAGTGTTACCTTCAAGGCGAAGAAGCATTTCATACTACATTACATTGTGGGGTTACACAAAAATAAAGACCCATACATAAGCACATGAAAGTTGGCCCTGGGTGCTACATCAGCATGTATGCTAACATTAGCAGCAAGCTAGCCATCCTACACGATGTGGGGAAGTTTATACTCTTTATACTATTAACCAGTGTGGAACCTACACCATAGCTTTTGGGGGAGCTCACTTTTTCTACTGTCACAGGGTATGCTGACTACAACACAGAGAAATGAATAATGGTGATTTGGCTTCACAAGTTATGTTTTCAGGGGAGCTCATGGCTTATTGAGAGAATCCAAGCTCCACCCATACATACATACATACATACATACATACATACATACATACAATTCCATTTCTGATGCTCACCAAGCGCACTAGACTTTTCTGTTGCAATGTTACGAGAAACAGTATTTTTGGTATTTAGTATTTTGAGTAAACTGACCCAACATACAAAACTTACTGTATGTACTATACCCTAAACATACTGTTTGTGATGTTGACAAAATCTTTTTACGTGTTGAATTCATATGATTTACTGTAAATTCAGCTAGCTTCATCTAGCAACCAGGCCTGTGACCTTTTATTTGAAATGTGAACCAAATAAAGTATTAGAACTGTAATGATTTGTTCAGATTCAAAATTCATAACTGATCCAGCAGAGGGTGCATCAACTTGGACTATTGCATTCGTATTGATCCGTAAACTAAGCTAGTAAATACAAATGGAGGACACTTGCAAACAAACCTGTGCTGATTGGATACACATTGTGCAAAATCTGCCACTGTTACCATTGTAAACTTAACTACATATGTTCCTTGAGAAACAGAGGGTTTGGCAGGCATGGCAACAGTTAATATTGAGAAGCAGGGTTTATGAAATGTCAGTTATCTTGTGGGGCAGGGAGATTAGATCTTTACTTCTTCAACTCTACATTCTTGTGACTAGACTAAAACAGGACAATGTGCAAGTCTTAACATGTTGTTTTATTTAATAATTACAAGTGGGTTTATACAATTTCCTCATTTTTGACAGGTCCTCTTCAAAGGCCTGATGTATAGCATAACTAAAGACATGAAAGCTTTTAGCTACTGATATCAATTTTCTTGCAAAAAATGAGGCCTAACTGTTTTGTTGTGAAAGCTTCATTCTTCAACAAAATGAAATGGGGGTAAAAGAGGAAAATTCCCATCCTCTTATTATTATACTGGTTTAAATCTGATACATCTAAATATGAATCCCATGTCTAAAGCGGATAGACACCATATGTTTTTTGGATTGAAATGGTTCAAGGAGCAGGACAGAAAAACACCCATAGATCTGACATAATTTATGTTGTTCAAGGCTCAGTCAAATGATTTGTCTCTTTTCTCTCTTCTGTTTGCTGGCTATGTTACTTGAGTAGAGGCTTGATTTTAGAGAGAAATCCCCCATGGTTTTCTTAGGTTATGACATATAATCATTAACTGTCTGCCAATATTACCAGTCAATGTTGTGACTTGGTGATTACGCAACCACACTGGCCAACTGTGACATGAAAAAAAAACTGCACACAAGAAATTAATCATGAGTCCCTGATGCAGTTTGTTGCCCCAAGCAGCCTTACCGTATTAGATAAAAACAAACAGAGCATGGCTCATACAGCGAAGAACCAGCTTGTGTTGCAGATCTGCTGCTTGAGAATAACTGCACATTCTCTATAGAAAGCTGTCAAACAAGCAGAAGCAAGATAAAACAACATAACATCATATAGGTTTAAATCATAGGATGTAATCTCCTGAAGCATTGGTCAGTGCGGTAGAAGACTGTCAGATGAGAAGCCAAAGTTTTCACCAGAAGTCTTTTCAGAGAAATGCAAGTCTTTGGTGGGAAAGTGAATTTTCTCAAATTTCCTTTCTTCATCTAATGTGTGCAGCACACAGACACATGATTTCCTTTCAAAAGCTGTTCACGTAAAAGTGTTTTCTTTGCCATGGAGACGGTGGAAGTATGAACACTTTGATAAGAAAAACAAATTTTCCCATGTTTCACAACACGTACATGAAATATGATTTTTTTTATTCCACACTGACATGTGTACTATATATACATTTCGTTTACAATGTCAACTTCTGCCATTTAATTAAGTACAATAATTGGTAATAATAATAAGTACAATACAAGTTATAATTCATATGGTATAGATACAGATATTAGCCATTTTCAGAACTTTCTTGGCATTTTATATGGGTCAAAAATAGGTATTTTGAATGAAACTCTTCTTGCATTGCAAATTGCAGCACTGTACAGTTACATTAATACAATGCAAGTGGCCTTGAGGCACTTAAACTATGTCAGGTAAAAGCTGCACTACACACAAAAACATACTCACTATGTTGGGTCAATTAAGCTCCTGGCAAGATTAAAATAACCCCTCAATTCTACATCCTCTTCCAGTTTATTGGATGTTTTCATTATGCAATGTCTGTCAAAGTTAATTTGAACAGCACATATGTAACTTTAATTGAGTACAAACAGTCAAAGCTTGACTTGGAAGAATTTTTTTTATTGAAATCACAGGTGCACCCGAGAATGCTTTCTATCCTCTCTCTTTTTATAGACTCTCTCCAGGCTCTGTCTACTGGTGTAGCATTACATTTCCAGCTAAGAAAATTGAGAATTGAGAATGAATGCATGAATTATTACTTATGCAGGCTCAAAACAAGTGGCTGAATGTCCTTACGAGACGTTCTTGTCTGTTTTCCAACTCATACTGCAATATTGCAGCTAGAGGTAGGCCTTGAGTATTAGGTTATAAAGTAATTGTAATGTGTATTTTAATGGTTTCATATCTTATTTTGCAGAAGATTTAACAAGCTGCTTCAATGAAAGGATTTATGAATTTTTGCTTACATATTTGCAAAAAAACCACACAGTTGTATGTTCAATCTCATCATCTTGAGAATGGAAATTTGCATTACTGATTGCATCACAATCTTAGTAACCACATGCATACGTGATCGTCATTTGTTTGTAGTTTCCTGTTCAGTGGAGAGAAAATAACCGTCACTATCAAGATAGCAATAAAGATAGCAGTTTAATGTGGTCTATGTCACAGGCCTGATCCTGTGGAAAAATGCACAAGCAATTTTGAGAGCACTTACCTTTGCACAGTTTGCACACGGACAGAAAAAACAGATAGAAATAGGAAAATAAAATTATTGAATGCATGCACCAGATTCTGTTTTCTCTTGTTAGACTTAAAGTCAGAGACAACCGGTGGTCCACAAAAGTGATGGAACTACCTATCTGAAACCTCTGAGCTTTAACTTGAGTGACTATATACGAGACCAGCACAGGCATGAGTCAGCTACTACCGGATAATTGTTGAACAGAGTCGGTGTCACAACAGCACAGCTCTCGGGCCATAAACCTCTGTTACCATATGTGATTTTGTTAAACCCAAGATTTGATCTGTCATGACTGTTCTAGGAATGTCTGTTTCCCTGTCTATTGGCTTTTGTTGTTGCCATTCTGTTTTCTTATTAATAAACATGTAATTTGAAGTGTGATTGATAGTTTTTAGTGCTTGATATTGGATTCCCTGTTTCCTTGTTGCTGTGTCCGATGGCTAAACCAGCCAGTCCTCTCAGCCCCGTGGTCCCCATAAAAGGGACGGGCTAACCGTAAAGGCCCTGTTCTACCAAGTTCCTCTCTGCACCTCCTTCTGTAATTCCCATTACTGCCCTGGACTCCAGGAGCTCACATCCCAGAAACCTGTTCACTCTTTTCCTTCTCATCTTCCCCCACCTCCTCTTTTCTTCCCCTTCTTCAGCACATGCAAACTCTATTGTGCATCATTCAAAATGATTACAATAAAGTTTCTGACTTAGATAAAAGAGGGACATACTTGAGTCTAGACATAGGAAGTGATGTAACAGACATATCTGTTCTCTGTGGTCAGTAAGCTGCATACTTTTCGGCTTGACTACACTGTGAAAATTGTAACAGGTTATACGGCCGCTGCTATTTTCAGTGTTGCAAATCTCTTCATATCTTTTTTGCAACAGAGCTCATTAACTTTTGATCCACAGTCATTGCTCTTAGCTAACATCCAACTTTCCTTGTCATCTCTCATTGGTTTACAGCAGTCAGTACCTCAGAAGTGTATTTTCCTTTATTTTTGCCAAACTGAAATAAATAGGTCTGCCGGACCCACAAGCTATGAACAAACATTATGATTTATGTTACACATACAGTATTCTAATAGAGAAATTGTTATAGTGGTTCCTTGCTTATAAGAAAGACTGACTGAAATATTTTTAACTACAGTATAATGCTGGTTTATGAAAATACAGTCTGCGTACTGATCTCTTTTTCCCTCCAAGAGAATCCTAATGACTTCTTCATTCCTCTGGTAGCTCAGGGGTCACATTTCACTTTAACTTACACAAACCACATTTTCAAACAAATCCTATTTTTATGCACTGTCTTATGACGTGATAACATCACAATAATGCTACCTCTGGGGCTGCATGACAGACATAGAGGCTCCTCTGAGAAAGCCACAGCTTTGAACATGCAATGCCAGTAGAGATCTTAAAGACTGTGAGTGTTGCATCATTGGAGAAATTATGACCAATCATACCACAGTTCACTACACTGGTCTAATTTATGCTCAAACTTGCACCATTTAACTCATTTCAAGTTAACTTGTGGTCATGGACATAATTAAAAGGTGACTTTTCGCATGATGTAAATTTATGAAAATGGGAATCCAGGCCAAATATTTGTGAAACAGACTCTTTAGTCAGTAAAAAGCCTTACTTACCTTGTGACCTACTTGAACAATCAGCAAGTGACAGTAAAAGTTAGCCTGTGTTTGTGTGCAGCATGGCTGTACATTACCAATGTTGTATTTTCATTCCAGCTTAAATATAATGTTACGTTACATATTATGTATACTAACTACATATCTGATTTCACATTGTCTAAACATTTTAGGGTTGTACTATGACTATACTCTAGAGGTGACAGAGGTCTCATGAATGAGGTTCAAAGCCATATAATTTGCATATGCAAACTACACAAACACCTCCTTCTCTCCCTAAAACAAGGAAGCATTTAAAGACTGAAATTGTCAGTAATGTGTGCCACTGCTCTTCAGTAGCTGAGCTGTGCTGTGATCTCACCATGTTTATCCCCTGTAAACTGGTAATACTGATACTTGCACTGACTCTTCATGGCCAAGGTAAGTTTAGTTGCATTTTCATGGCTGCATATGCACTTTTTTATCCATGTTGTTAGTTATTAAAGAATGTGTTTTAGACTACCACTACTACTACAGTCCACACTGTGTGACATACGAGGATGGATCTGTTAAGTCTAATCAATTTCTTTGGTTAGTTCTGGCCTATTTAATAAGGACATCAATATGATCAGTGGTCATTGATGGTCAATTTACTTTTTTGGCTAATACATAGCCACACACACACACACACGTGTATATAATAGTAATAATTATAATTATAATCATTGTTATTATTATTTATTTTCTCAGTTCATACAGGGGAAATCATTGGAGGCCACAAGGCTGTGCCACATAGCCGGCCATACATGGTGCTATTGAAAAGGCACATGCAGGATGGTAAAACACTGTGGTGTGGTGGCTTCCTTCTGAATGAGGATTTTGTGATGACTGCAGCCCACTGCCAAGCCAGGTCAGTTTAACACACTTTATCTTTACCTACTGGGAATTCTGGGGCAACAACGTAGACTCATGTGCTGAGACTACAATTTAAAATGCGCCAGTATCTATTTGTAAAATGTGTAAAATTGTAACAATTCAAGTATGTTATTATTATCTTATTTTGTGAATGCATTGCTCACAAAGCCACAAATCATTTTATTCTTTTTGTTTTAGCGTTTAATTTTGTCATTTCAGTTACTATCAAGTCTTCCTCGGAATTCACAAATTAGATGAGAGTAATACAGTGGGTCTATCTGTTGACCAAGCATTTCCACATAAAGCCTACAATTCAACTAGTATGGAAAATGACATAATGCTTCTTAAGGTAAGAAAATCCTTGCAGTTTATTATTATTACTATTTTGTTATTTCCAATTTCTGTTTCTCATTATGTTATTTTTTAAATGTTATATTAACTAATCAAAGGAGACCTGAAATACTGCATGCATATCACTGAACAATAATAACTAAAGAAATAACAGGAAATGTTGAATTTCAAATTTGTATTTTAGCTTCATATTTGTGTTTTTTTTTTTTTTATCTCTCTCTGTTTCTCAAGTTGAGCAGCAAAGCAAATTTCAACAAAACTGTGAAACCCATTGCTCTGCCGGGACGAGGTGATGGCTCTCTGCCAAAATCATGTATTGTCTCCGGCTGGGGAAATGCTGACAAGAACACACAATATATGTCTCACATACTCATGGAAGTCAATGTGACACTCATTGTTGATGAGCAGTGTCAAAGGGGTAATTTTTACTGCTCTGAGGGAGAGACTGGACCAGCTGAAGTACGTGTATTTTGTAACACGGATAAAAAAAACATTGGTCAAAAAATTATAATTGATTCACTGCTGAAGCAATGACTGCATACTGTGTATGTATTTCCAGGGAGACTCTGGAGGTCCATTGGTCTGCGAGGATGGGAAGGCATACGGGGTGGTGTCCTTCACCTTGAAACCAAACTCAGGTGGCCCATTCATCCATGGTTATACTAAGATTCCTGACTACAAAAGATGGATTGGTTGGACAATTAAAAATGCATGAAACAATCTGAATACATGTAACATTTGATCAAACAAATCACAACATTTAAATTTACTCTTTGCATAACATTGGGAAGCTGATAATTGAGATGCTGACTGATTGTATCACACTGACACTATCAGATCAAATGTATTTTTTTGCTTTAATGAAAATGTGCTTTCCTTTGTCACCAAAATTATAAATATCATTTGGTTCATTTAAGTTTTTCCTTTTTGTGGTACAGCTGTTTTTTCTGCTGCTGGACAACTACACTTTTTGTCAATAAACGTTGGATTATAAATTCCAATAGGCAAATTAGAAATGTAAACCAACCACATGCACATTGCACACAAATTTGGAGTGGATTAAAATCAGAAATTTGTGTAGGAAAAGTGTAGATTTAAGACTGTTTAATAGATGTGATACATGTGATATTAGATACTATATGTCATCCTTGTGTATCTTGTTTATCTAAATGAGAACACATAATCCTCCATGTTTGTTTTGTACCACCTTTTAAAATAAACTGTTGCTCTCAGTACCTCTGTTCATCCTCTCTTTTAAGCCTGAATAAATCAACAGACAAGACAACACTGCCTCCTTGTGAGGAAAGTGTATTGATGCAGCTTAAAGAGGGTCACTATTCACTTACTGAAGCTAAAACTTTCCTCTCATGTATAGCTCTAAACGTAATAAAGTCGCTGCCTGTTGTTTAATAAACCTGATTGCATTTTTAGCGGTATCTGACAGAGAGGTCAATGTCAATTCAAAACATACTAGCTGGAGCATACTTAACCTGCACAAACCTAATATGATTATATATGCAATAACAAATTATATAATACTGTAAGAATACTAAGACAGATGTAAGGACAGAATAAGCCTGCTGTTGATCATTAGTGATGTTAATCACATGCACCAGTGCGGATCAGACGGGACAGGTAGCTGTTGCCAGGATAACAGTGGTCCACCACGCCACTCTAATAGTGTCTCATATGGAGAATTTGGGGAAATAGAATTGATTACTCGGTACATAGAAAGGTGATTTCACAGAGAGACCCCTCTACTTAACACCCCAAGTCACCTTGCTCTCATATTATACTGTATTATACTAAATGTGTGTATAGTTCTTGCATGATCACATGCATGGGACATGCAACAGCAACAAACTTCCAATTTCTTCAATTATTTCAAATTAACATTTCAACAATTTCATATATTTTTTCAGTATTTTAATTAGTATTTTGATAATATCATATATGTTTAAATTAATTTATTTAATTCATTAAAATATTTCCGAGATTCCTCCACATGCCATTAGAGGGAGCTCACAGAGATCAGAAGCCTCAGGGCAGCTGGCTGCTTTGTGCGACTGATAGTTCGGCCTTGAATTTTGTGCCACTAGTGTAAGTGGAGCATGTCAGCTCCCTCAAATGTAATTTGCTCTCTAGAGCTCTACGCATACTTGTACAACAACAGCTTGAAGCATCTGCATTCACATAGTTGCTTGAACCATCTCTGTACCCTCAGAGTCACAGTGCTTCCAGTCAAACATCTGGAGGGCCAAAGGTCAAGTGATTGTCCAAAAGGAGCAAGGCAGCAGCAGGTATACTGGTAATTTTATCATCCCCAGAGGACAACAGGACCCCATGACACAGAAACTTGTCAGAATCAACAGAACCCTTTTGAACCCCTGCACAATTTTGCAAACTCAAGAACAGCCCACTTCTCCCCAGGGCCATTTTTTTTCTCACAGAGTCAGGAAAGGTTGTGACATTTTTTTGATTAATTTAATTTTCTTTAGGTTTTCTCTAGGTCAGGAATTTCCACAGAACTATGCTGTGGTCAGTCTTTCCATATGCATATCCACAGCTGCATCTACAATTATCTTCAGGACATTAGAAGAGGTCATTCTCACCCTGGCGTACAGTATGAAGTGCTTTTGGTGAAGAATGAAGCCAGACGTGTCCCAAACTTGAGTCTTACACTTCCTGGGTTCCTTGCCAAGACACCTCTTGACATATTTGATCTCCATTTAGCCCTACTCATCTCTCTGTCACATTTCATCCCATCCCTTTACAGTACACAAAGGTCTTTTACCCCTCTATTCCCAGCACTAATTCATTCATCCCTACCTTACCTGTCTTTCCAACAGACTAATTTGCATGTATGGCATGGTCTTTGTTAGTGAAGAAAGCACAGGGCATGGGATCCATTCTGTAGTTTGGAAATACAAACATTAAAGCATGAATGTAACAGCTGTGTCTAACACAGGTTTGTGTTAGGCTGTCTTTCTACGAGTGGGACTTTGTCACTGACGAAGATCTCTCTCTGGGCTCTAAACCACCCACGATAGAAAGCATCAAGCAGTTTTCATTCATCATCGTCAGCCCTCTGTTGCCTATAGTCAACGCGCACTATATGTACATCTGGAAATCAGTATGTGTGTTCCACTATCTAGTAGCGGTACCATTACTGCAGGAGCAAGTAGTAGTGACTCTGTGGCAGCAGCATGGGTAGTAGGCTGTGTGTTACCACAGAGGTATCAATGTAATGCTATGGTGCATGTAAACCACATGCATTATACTGCATTGTCTGCAGATAATATAGGTTTGAATGGGGTTCAAAGCCACATCGTTTGCATACAAAAACACTTCCTTCTCTCCCTAATACAAGGAAGCATTTAAAGACTGAAATTGTCAGTGATGTGTGCCACTGCTCTTCAGTAGCTGAGCTGTGCTGTGATCTCACCATGTTTATCCCCTGTAAACTGGTAATACTGATACTTGCACTGACTCTTGATGGCCAAGGTAAGTTTAGTTTTTATGGCATGACTGCATTGTTTCAAACAGGGTATTATAGGATGAGGTGCAAGAAGATAAATTGACTCATATTATAAGTCTGTTTGATCACTTTAGTGTGTATGTGTATCATGTGTGCACATTTTTTTTTCAGTTCATACAGGGGAAATCATTGGAGGCCACGAGGCTGTGCCACATAGTCGGCCATACATGGTGCTATTGAAAAGGCACATGCAGGATGGTAAAACACTGTGGTGTGGTGGCTTCCTTCTGAATGAGGATTTTGTGATGACTGCAGCCCACTGCCAAGCCATGTCAGTTTAACACACTTTATCTTTACCTACTGGGAATTCTTGGACCCTTTATGAGATTTCTTATCCCAACAACAGCTTAGACTCATGCACAGATACTTTAATTTAAAATGCACAGATAATTGATATCTATTTGGAAAATATGTTTCATGGTGGATTCATGAATTGTGACATAAATTCAAGTATCTCATAGTCTTTTAATATTATTATTTTATGAATTTCATTTCAGGCGGTACACAGTCTTACTGGGACTTCACAAGTTTCGTGAAAATAATGGAGTAGAGTATATAGACGTGGAACAAGCATTTCCACATAAAAACTACAATGAAACTGACAGTTTCAAAAATGACATAATGCTTCTTAAGGTAAAATAATTTTCATTTTTATAAAATATATTTTTAATTTATGATATAAAATATTTTATCCCTCTCTGTTCCTCAAGTTGAGCTCCAAGGTGGATTTCAGCAAAAATGTGAAACCCATTGCTCTCGCAGACAGAGGTGATGACTCTCTGCCAAAATCATGCATTGTCTCCGGCTGGGGACGTACAAACAGGGAAATAAAAGATACGTCTCTTGTACTCATGGAAGCCGATGTAACACTCACTGATAATGAGTGGTGTGATAAGAGTAGCCTTCACTGCTCTGAGGGAGAGACTGGACCAGGTAAAGTACGTGTATTTTGTAACAAGGATAAAAAAAAAATGAATAAAAATTATAATTGATTCAATGCTGAAGCAATGACTGCATACTGTGTATGTATTTCCAGGGAGACTCTGGAGGTCCATTGGTCTGAGAGGATGGGAAGGCATACGGGGTGGTGTCCGTTACCATGAAACCAAACTCAGGTCACCCGTTTATCCATGGTTATACTAAGATTCCTGGCCACAAAAGATGGATTGGTTTGACAATTAAAAATGCATGAAACAATCTGAATACATGTAACATTACTCTTTGCATAACATTGGGAAGCTGATAATTGAGATGCTGACTGATTGCGTAGCACTGACACTATCAGATCAAAGCATGTCTTTCTTTTTGCTTTAATGAAAATGTGCTTTCCTTTGTCACCAAAATTATAAATATCATTTGGTTCATTTAAGTTTTTCCTTTTTGTGGTACAGCTGTTTTTTCTGCTGCTTGACAACTACACTTTTTGTCAATAAACCCTAGATTAAAATGTCTAATAGGCAAATTGGAAATGTAAACCAACCACATGCACATTGCACACAAATTTGGAGTGGATTAAAATCAGAAATTTGTGTAGAAAAAGTGTAGATTTAAGACTGTTTAATAGATGTGATACATGTGATATTAGATACTATATGTAATCCTTGTGTATCTTGTTTATCTAAATGAGAACACATAATCCTCCATGTTTCCTTTGTACCACCTTTTAAAATCAACTGTTCTCCCACCATGTTTTCTCAGTACCTCTGTTCTATATTGATCACTATTCACTTACTGAAGCTTAATGAAGTCTCTGCCTGTTGTTTAATAAACCTGATTGCATTTTTAGCGGTATCTGACAGTCAATTCAAAACATACTAGCTGGAGCATACTTAACCTGCACAAACCTAATATGATTATATATGCAATAACAAATTATATAATACTGTAAAAATACTAAGACAGATCAACACAATCAACACTGAATCAACATATGCAACACTGTCTGAGCTGAGTTTAATAGACACATCTCTCTGGGGGCTAATCAGGTGCCGGTCATTAGGTAGTGGCAGGCTGTCTGTGAAAAGGACCCTCCTAAGGTCACAAGATTACCTGTCACACATGCTAGAGCATTTAAAGCAGATGTGAACAAGTAATACCCAGATATATCTCCCTCTGATGACCCTTCAGCCTTTCCTATTGCAAACTCTAGGGCCAAGAGCTGTTTCACTCTAGTCACTCTTTAAACTGCTTCATCCATGTGCAACACCACAGAGAGCCAGGTACCTCCCACATGCATGTTCCAGGCAACACACCAGTAGAATTTGCTTTTACCTTTACTGACATCAAACAGGGGTCGGTCTAGAGAAATATTCATGGGGTGGCCAGAGGTGCATGGAGACTTTAAGGGGTGGCAGAAATATAACCTTATTTAATCGCAAACAATCACATATATCAATATTTGCTTGGAAAAGTCTCCAAATAAAGATAATTGTACTTAAAAACATAACATTAGTGTGGCACTAGTATCAAATAAAAACATCTAAAGGAAGCATTAGAAATCTAATAAATGTTTTATCTCCAAGTCTTCAGATGATTCCAAATACATATCTTTTTTTAACATAAGCCTATTCCTCAGTCTAAAAGGTGGCCATAACTGATCATTAGACACTTCTTGACATATTTGAACTCCAATTGCCCTCATCTCTCTGTGCTCGATCACATTTCATCCCATCCCTTTACAGTACACAAACGTCTTTTACCCCTCTATTCCCAGCACTAATTCATTCATCCCTGCCATACCTTTCTTTCCAACTGACTATTTTGCATACTTAAATGGCATGGTCTTTGTTTTCTGCCCTCTGAACATATAGAGTTGTATAACATATATAATAACACCTCAAGGAATGAGAGATAACCAAGGTTGCTATACTGCTGTTTCACAACTCATGCAGAGGAAATGGTTCATGATATTAATCTGTACTTCCTGTTCATCACAAACAAGATAAACAACGCAAGAGCATTTCAAACGGATGTGACTAAGCAATACCTAAAAAAGAAGACCAAGAATATAGACTGAATTCAGAGGCTGATGCACCAAAAGTAGTGATTTGATTTACAATAAATTAAAATGTAAAAGATTAAATAGTACCAAGAATGGAAGGCTTATGACATATAAGGGCCAAAAAAAGGTTGCATTAATAATTGACATTAAATAAACACATGAATTAATAACCAAAAACATTGAACACTGTGGGGGTGAACTGGACATTTAGAGTAGAGTTACACCGTTCAGCCATAACATTATGATCACCTGGAGCTACAGTAGCTCGTCTGTTTGGTCAGACCACAGGGACCAGCCCTCGCTCCCCATGTTCATCAATGAGCCTTTGCCACCCATGACCCTATCGCTAATTCACTGCTTTTCCTTCCTTGGAGCACTTTTGATAGGTACTGACCACTGCAGACCTGGAACACCCCACAAGAGCTGCAGTTTTGTAGATGCTCTGACCCAGTCATCTAGCATCACAATGTGGCCCTTGTCAAAGTTGCTCAAATCAAAGTGACTCTGAGACTGCTGAGTGACAGCAACTTGAGTAGCAGGTTAGACAATGTTATGACAATGACCAGAAATAGAGAAAAAACTGACCACTTGTCCATCCACCACATTTCAAGTGATGTACGTAATACTACTGAAGACGTGCATTTAATCATCACAGACCAGTTATATTAGTAAAAATAATAATAAATATGAATTCTTTTTTTTCATAGGTATTGCCTGGCATGCAAAACTGTTGGAACCTATGTAAAGTGTACGGTCTCAAACAGGGGATTAAATGCTTGTGTGTTTGGCATTCAGTTTTTTTCCAGAGTTGAAGTTTGCCACTGCTGTTGGAGCAGCTCCACAGGTTCTTTCCAATTTCCACAGAAAGTAAAGGGAAAAGTACAAAATTGTACACTTGCATCCAAATGTGCAGATATCATAAGGAGACGCCACCTCAGTAATGGTGAGTTGTTTACTAACTAGCAATTCTGTTCCCAATCCGATCGGATAAAAGCACTTATTGTTATAAATTATGGTTGCATGGCGCTGCCTGGTGCTGAAGCCTTTTACCTTTGCACCTGAAGATGTTTTTGTCATTCTTTGACTAAATTCAATTAAAAACTACATTTACATTGAATGCCATACCTGCGTTTATTGAAAAGAAATTAAACTTTTCTATTGAGTTACTCTGTATATTAGCACCCCATATAATCGTTGAGCTCCCGGGTGTGACAAGATTGTGGTGTCGGTCATGGTTTGCTATTGTCGAGAGCCATTTACTCTGAATCATCTGCAGCAGTAAATGCCTTTCCATTAGTTCAGATTTTTCTTTCTGTGACAAAGAACACCATTATTGAGAACACCAGTCATAAACTCACGTTGCCACTCAATTTCTCAAACATCAACTGTGGCGGTTGAGGAAATTGTGCTAAGATCTAACAGAATCAGCATGTATATACTGTTACACAGTAGCTATCTAGTCATATCTGTCTTATGTCATGACAAAATTAGAATAATGTTTCCTTTGGTGCTGTGTGACTGACAGAGCCTCAACATTGAGCATGAAATGCCACTACAGATCTTCCAGGCTGTGTGTTAGCACAGAGGCATCAATGTAATGCTGTAGTGTATGTAAACCACATGCATCATACTGCATGTACTTAACTAAACGCTGTCACTGAATGTAGTTGTTTTTTATGCTATGGAGGTGATAGAGGTGTGAAAGGGGTTCAAAGCCACATCGTTTGCATACACAAACACTTCCTTCTCTCCCTAATACAAGGAAGCATTTAAAGACTGAAATTGTCAGTGATGTGTGCCACTGCTCTTCAGTAGCTGAGCTGTGCTGTGATCTCACCATGTTTATCCCCTGTAAACTGGTAATACTGATACTTGCTCTGACTCTTGATGGCCAAGGTAAGTTTAGTTTTTCTGGCATTACTGCATTGTTTCAAACAGGGTATTATAGGATGAGGTGCAAGAAGATAAATTGATTAATTAAATTAGTTTGTTTGATTACTTTAGTGTGTAATTTGTATCATGTGTGCACAATTTTTTTTTCAGTTCATACAGGGGAAATCATTGAAGGCCACGAGGCTGTGCCACATAGTCGGCCATACATGGTGCTATTGAAACGGCACATGCAGGATGGTAAAACACTATGGTGTGGTGGCTTCCTTCTGAATGAGGATTTTGTGATGACTGCAGCCCACTGCCAAGCCATGTCAGTTTAACACACTTTATCTTTTCCCTCCTGGGATTTCTGGGACCCTTTATGAGATTTCTTATCCCTACAACAGCTTAGACTCATGCACAGATACTTTAATTTAAAATGCACAGATAATTGATATCTTTATTTGGAAAATATGTTTCATGGTGGATTCATGAATTGTGACATAAATTCAAGTATCTCATAGTCTTTTAATATTATTATTTTATGAATTTCATTTCAGGCGGTACACAGTCTTACTGGGACTTCACAAGTTTCGTGAAAGTAATGGAGTACAGCATACAGAAGTGAAACACGCATTTCCACATAAAAACTACAATGAAACTGACAGTTTCAAAAATGACATAATGCTTCTTAAGGTAAAATAAAAAATATATTTTTTGGTCATTTTTTATCATATTGTTACTTTCAAATACTCTGTTGAATGCATTAACCAATAGGAGCACTAAAATACTGTAAACACTAATATTTATATTTTTTAAACATATTTTATCTTTTTTTTGTTCGTCAAGTTGAGCTCCAAGGCAAATTTCACTGAAAATGTGAAACCCATTGCTCTCGCGCATGGAAGTGATGATTCTCTGCCAAAATCATGTATCATCTCTGGCTGGGGACGTACAGACAGGGAAAAAAAAATATATGTCTCTTGTACTCATGGAAGCCAGTGTTACACTCATTAAGCAGTGTGCTAAGGAAAACTCGTACTGCTCTGAGGGAGAGACTGGACCGGGTGAGGTATGAACACTTTTGTAACATAACAAGGACAAACAAATGTTGGTCAACAATGATAATTGATTCACTGCTGAACCAATGACTGCATACTGGGTATTCATTTCCAGGGAGACTCTGGAGGTCCATTGGTCTGCGAGGATGAAAAGGCATATGGGGTGGTGTCTGGCACCTTGAAACCAGAGTCAGGTGGCCCGTTTATCCATGGTTATACTAAGATTCTTGAATACAGAAGATGGATCGATTCAACTATGAAGCAATAATACATGTCACAATTGATTGATCAAATTTGCTGTTTGTATGAGGTTGCAGAGCTGATAATTGAGATGCTAATATCAGGACTGATTCCATTGCACTGAGACTGTCAGGCTAGTAACTAACCCTAACCCTAACCCTAGTCTGGAATCCTTGCTTCACATAGATTTAATGAAAATATGGTTTACTTTGATGTTACTAAGTGATACAAACAAAAAAACTGAAAATATATGAATGTGATTTGGTTCATTTAAACAAAGTGACATGTTTTTACTCTTTATGGTACCGCTGTTTTCTTGTTCTGCTTTACAACTACACGTTTATTAAACTTTAGAAATGAGGCTTATCAAATTTAAATCAAGCTAATGCAGCTTTTTAAAGGCTAGATCATTGCACACAAATTAAGTATGGCTTAAAATCAGAAAATGAAGTGTAGACTTGTTGCTGTTTAATAGATGTGATATAATCTAATATTAGATACTGAATGTAACCCTGCTCTTAAATACAACATTGTATTAATTAAATACATTACCGCTTTGTGCATCATTTCTTACACTCAATCAAAAGAGAACACAGGATCCTCTGAGTTATTGTACCATCTTTTAAAATAAACTGTTGCTCTGTCAGCATTTTCTCTCAGTTCTTCTGTTCGTTCTTGTTTGAGCCTGAATTAAATCAACAAAGAAGACAACACTGCTTCCTTCTGAGGAAAGTGTATTGATTCAGCACAAAGAGGTTCAATATTCACTTACTGAAGTCCGAACTGAAGCTTTACTGTCTTTTATAAACTCCAAACATAATCAAGTCCCTGACTGTTGTTTAATATGGAGGAACAATTAAATTGGAGAAATCAAATAGAAAGATGGGAGTTTTCATAGAGAGACCCGTCTACTCAACACTTATCTAGTTTTCCATCTCATATTAGACTAAATTATTATTGGTGTTTTATACTGGTGCATGAGGGTCATTTCTGCCTACAGTATGATATTTCCTATTGTATGTGTTTATCTGTGACAGGAATATCTAAAATACTGATGGTTTAAGAAGAATTGTTCTTTGGGCATATTAATACTCTCAAGTGGAAAACCCCTGACTGTATTAGCTTGCCTTTAGCATCACCATCAGGCGGTTTCCATTTGTTACATGACCTTATTAGTGGCTGCATTATTAAACACTAGTGCAGTGCCCGTAGGAAGTATGTATTGCTATAGAAAAGTGGGAGGTTAAGTAGCTTTTTCATGGATGGCCAAATGAGGTTGTGTTTGAAGGTGGGACGTCAGGGACATTTAGGTTTGTTGTGAAATGTGTAGATTGATAACTATTGTGTTTTCATATAATTTGGCTTTTAGCAAGGACACTGTAGGGAGATGAACCCCATACAACTAATGTGAAAATACCACACCTTATGGTCAGCGCATATAAATTCTGAAAGAACAAAGTGAACTACATCTGAAATGGGATGAAACCTGGCAGCATAAACAGACTAACTTGTAGCATAGCCTAGTAAATTAACTGGGGAGGACATATTATTTAGCCCTGTAATATAGCCTAGCATACATCAGAGAGAGAGATACAGAGAGAGAGAGAGAGAGAGAGAGAGAGAGAGAGAGAGAGAGAGAGAGAGAGAGAGAGAGAGAGAGAGAGAGAGAGCGAGCAGAATTAGGCAGATACCCACTGATAATTAACCTTCAGAAGAGAACGCTCAACTTTTTTAACCACCTGAAATCCAGCCCCAGAGACACCCTCCACTCCAAAGCCCTCCAAACCCAAGAGCTGAGCCCAGAAAAGAGTCCCCCATGTCACTTGGTACTGAGGCTAACTGCCCCCTCTCATACACACTCACAACAACACTGCTCTACAAACAGTAATCAGAGTAAAGCAAATTATAGCACAATGTAAAGAAAGCTATCTGGACCATTGGGATGAAACAACTAAAAGCCAAAGTAGATGGGAATGTTATCTTGCCCTTAAAAGAGATTATGAATTAGCAGAATATCTCTCTACTGTCAGCGATAGAAAGCAGAGACAGATCCTAACCAAGTACAGGCTCAGTGACCACAAACTGGCAATCGAAACAGGAAGACACAAAAAATCATGGCAACCAAAAGAAAACAGAAAATGTGGTGACTGTTCGACAGGTGAGATTGAGACAGAGATGCACTTTCTCCTACAATGTACAAAATTAAATAATACTAGAAAAAATTATTTGAACAAGTTCAGCTCTTTGATACCAGATTTCAAAGAGCTGAACGACCTCTCCAAATTAAAAATACTCCTCGGAGAAGGAGAGCGGGCACACCTTGCTGCCCAGTATGTATTAACATGCCACAACTTGAGGGACAGTGAGTAATCGAGGCACACGCACACACAGACACACATACACACATACACACATACACTGTATATAACTAATATAATGTTCATATAATAATAATGTATAAATCTTTGATTTATCGTATTGTATATGAATACTTTGCTTTGGCAATATTGTTTTTTAAAAAACTTTCATGCCAATAAAGCCCATTTTGAATTTGAATTTGAATTTGAATTTGAATTTGAATTTGAATTTCAATTGAGAGAGCGCAATGGCAGTAAGGGTTTCCACATCCAAAAATGTTTTTGAAACTACCAAAATGATGAGGATACAAAATTAGTAGTGGAAGTGTGAAAAAGCAGAGAGTGGGGACAGGGACAGTAGCCCCATTCACACTGCCGTTTGCATGCGGGAATCCAGCGCCAATTCTCCGCACCCTCCTCTGTGTGAAAGTTTCAGATGCGGCCAGGGGGGAAATTTCGCTCCGGCCCTGATCCTCCTCTGGAGGTAGTATCAGGGACACAGGAGCGAGGGCGTGTCGGTCAGACAGTCTGATAACTGCACAGGTCTCTCACTCAACTTAATAAAGAAAAATGTCCCACAAAGCAACGTTACGGGACCAAACAACAGTAACGTAGTAACTGTAACTGTCTTTGGCAACTTACAAGTTTGCTAATTTTAAATATTTTATCTACCTATGCATTCAGAAGAGAGGGCGATCACTGACTGAGTGTTGCAGCTAATATACCATGTAGTAATGTAGTTCATCTAATGGCCACCAGATTCTGACTTCACTGCTGCTTGAACACAAAATGCAAATATAGATCTTCAAGGCTGTGTGTGTGTGTGTGTGTGTGACCAGAAATGCTTTAATACAATGCTACATATGGTGTATGTATTATGTGTTATGTGCTTAATTAAACACTGTAAAGAATTTAGACTTGTACTATGAAAATCTAATTTTTGTCATAAAATGGAGGTGACAGAGACCACCTCCTAAAAGTGGTTCAAAGCCACATTGTTTGCATATCCAAACCACACAAACACTCAGCTCTCTCCCTAAAACAAGGAAGTATTTAAACACTGAAATTGTCAGTGATGTGTGCCACTGCTCTTCAGTAGCTGAGCTGTGCTGTGGTCTCACCATGTTTATCCCCTGTAAACTGGTAATACTGATACTTGCACTGACTCTTGATGGCCAAGGTAAGTTTAGTTTTATGGCATTATATAAAACATTGTTTTAAATACAGTATTATAGCATGTAAACCACAGTACATGAGGGATTACATTCCTTGATGACTTTAGTGTGTATGTGTATCATGTGTGCGCATCTTTCTTTCTCAGTTCATACAGGGGAAAACATTGGAGGCCGCGAGGCTGTGCCACATAGTCGGCCATACATGGTGCTATTGAAACGGCACATGCAGGATGGTAAAACACTGTGGTGTGGTGGCTTCCTTCTGAATGAGGATTTTGTGATGACTACAGCCCACTGCCAAGCCAGGTCAATTTAACACACTTTATCTTTAGCTACTGGGAGTTCTGGGACCCTTTATGAGATTTCTTATTCCAATACTGATCACTAAAAATCAATCAACAATTGATGACAAATGTGCTTCATTGACTCCCAATAAATTTTGTCATTTCAGGTCCTACACAGTCTTCCTGGGAGTTCACAATTTTCGTGAAAGTAATGGAGTACAGCGTATACGTGCGGAACAAGCATTTCCACATAAAGACTACAATTCAACTAGTAGGGAAAATGACATAATGCTTCTTAAGGTAAATTAATATAAGAACAGTTTTTTTGTCATTTCCAATTTTTGTTTTTTAAATATATTATTTACAAATGCTCTATTGAATGTATAAATCAAGAGGAACATTAAAAATCTATAAGCACTGATATTTATTTGATATACATTGATATAAAATATTTTATCCCTCTCTGTTCAAGTTGAGCTCCAAGGTGGATTTCAGCAAAAATGTGAAACCCATTGCTCTCGCAGACCGAGATGATGACTTTCTGCCAGAATCATGTAGCATCTCTGGCTGGGGACGTACAGACAGGGAAACCCAATATATGTCTCTTGTACTCGTGGAAGCCGATGTAACACTCATTGTTGATGAGTGGTGTCAAAGGGGTAACTTTTACTGCTCTGAGGGAGAGACTGGACCAAGTGAGGTACGTGTATTTTGTAACACGGATTAAAAAAACATTGGCCAAAAATGATAATTGATTCACTGCTGAAGCAATGACTGCATACTGTGTATGTATTTCCAGGGAGACTCTGGAGGTTCATTGGTCTGCGAGGATGGGAAGGCATACGGGGTGGTGTCCTTCACCTTGAAACCAAACTCAGGTGGCCCGTTCATCCATGGTTATACTAAGATTGCTGACCGCAGAAGACAGATCGATTTGACCAACGACGCATCAAAAGGCTCTTATTACTGTCAGATTTGATTTATCAAATAAGAAATAAGTGATTACACAGTATTTCAGTTTACTTGTTAACACTGGAGCTGATAATTGAGATGCTAATATAGCGACTGATTCCATGGCACTGATTAGGTCTGGGCTAAGAAAACTGATTATGTGATTCAAATCAATGTTGAATCATAAAATCCAGAGATCGATCTTTAAATGTATACCTTTTTCTTGCTTTCAAGTATTGGCATGGTGCATGGGCTTGTTTCCCCCCAAGCTGCAGAGACCCCAGCCACCACTGTTTGTTTCTCCTCTCCAGTATTAGGAAGCTTTCTCTGGCTGTGAAGTGCAGCGAGTTGGGTGATTGGATGGTGTACCAAGGATACAATACTTTAACACTTGGAAACTGTACAGGCTGCTTGCACATGCTGTGCTGCTAGCTTGATGGACTAATATTAGATACTGTGTGTCACTGCTCTCATATTGACATTTTATTCATTAAACACATTACTGTTTTGAGCATAATTTCTCAAATGAGAACACAGGATCCTTTAAGTTTGTTTTGTACCATCGTTTTAAACAATAAACCATGTTCTCTCAGTACTTCAGTTTGAGCCTGAATTAAATAAATTAAAAAGACAACACTGCATCTTTGAGAAGAAAGTGCACTGATGCATTATTATACTCATTCATAATATGAATACAATTTTGGGCTATTTTCAGTTTTTACATGTTTCTAATTAAATAAAGTCTCAGCTTTCATACCATGTCAAAATGAATGTAAAATACAAAGGATAATTATAGCTAGCATAAATAAAACGAAACAGGTGTCAGAGTCGGCTAGCGTGTTTGTGTCATCTACGTCATCTGTCATCTGTCAGTTTAGATCGACACGGACACAGAGACAGATTGACAGATTGACAGCCTAGACAAAATTAATTTTCGCGACGACGAAATTGCTGGACTTTTAAATTAAATTGCTGTAAGACATGCTACGACAACTGGATCGACCTTATTACGGACTTTTTCACCGCACCGGCAGCTGAGAGTGAGAGTGACAGCGGCGGCTCGACCTCCGAGTCTGACTCGGATTTCGCGCTACCGACACCGGCCGGCTCCGATCGTGATGGCGAAGAAAGTGAGTGTGACGGAGGCCAGGAGGAAGATATTCCACTCGTGGCTGACCCGATGGTAGCATACAATGTCTCTGATTATAATTATGTAAAGCAGTAAAGTTTATTTATTTGAATATAAACTGTCTATAAAGGTCTTTCAATTCATTTGGAATATGGCGGAATGTTGATTGCTATCTTTAGAGCGCTTTTTCTCAAAAACAAGGTTTGGTGACAGTCAACCTTTGGAAGAGCGTGTCTCATACAATTTTAGAGTAGAAAAATAATTTTGGTATCGCCATAAAGCTGAGACTTTCCTCTTTACAGCCATGAAGAAAACTCAAAATGTGTTTCTGGGTCAAAGTTACTCAAAATGATGGAGCAGGTCACATAATAATTGTGGATTATTTATATCTGTTTAGGCTCACTTGTAAATTTAGACTTGACTACCAGATATAATCTCTAGAAAGTGTCCTAGGTGCCTATTTACCCACACTTAGTCATCTCTATCTACAATAAGAGATTAGAGGGGTTGCAGTATTGCGCTTTACTACACTTCACTGACAAAATGTGGCACAATTTTTCTTGCATAACTCTAGAGTTGTCAAAAAGCTGACACGAAAAGAGGCATTCTATCCGAGAAAGAAAGAAGAAATGTCTTGTGATTTTAATATGCACGCTAGAAAACATCTTGTTTTGATAGTTTTTTTTTGAAGTTTTACAACAGGCAAGATGGGCCACAGAATAAGCTGTTGCACATTGGGGGACAAACACACTCCCGTAGTACAGGGTGTCTTCAAGCGGACATCAGGTAGCAGAGATCAAGGTTGCAACTGGCCCATAAAAATGCCAGGGAAATGGAATACTGAACTATTGATCAGACAGTCCAGTAAGGTTGATGTTTGATCGGTGGGAAGGACGATCTCAGTGTGACCAGGGCAACTAAGCGCCCTGACAGCAAGTGCGACAACGCCACCCTGGGACTTTCACCCAGAGAATACCCACTTTCACAGGTTCTTATAGTACAGAGAAAAAGGAGCAGAGATGTGAATTTCCAGTTTCGACCACTACATTTACACAGATTTAATGTCACTCTCAAAAAACCATTTGGGATAGGTTAAAATTTACAATTTATTACCAAAATATACTTATATTCACTAAACAGGTAATTACCAGTACAAGGGAGAGGGGGGCTGTCAGGGAGGCCTACAGGAATGAGGGAGTGAGAGAAAAGGGGGGTCACCACCACCAGTAGGTACAGGGAAGAGGAGATCACACACACACACACACACAGCAAAACAATAAAGCACATAGTTAGAATACACAGCAACGTAAGCATGCACATAGAACCCAGACAGGGGGAAACCCTCCACCCAGTAACCCACCACCTGTAAGCCTATGACAGCCCACCTGTACAAACACTAAAAGAGCTCCACTATATCATTAACTCACAAGTTTGGTTTATGAAAGATGATAAATAAATCCGACAACTAAATTAACCAAGAAAACACAAGCCAACTATCAGAAATTAACAATCTACACAGTAAAACAAGGTAACCATATACAATAAATACATTTGTAGAAGGGCAAAAACAGCAGTAGCCAGAAGACTAGGTCATGGGAACAGACACCATGTTCCAGTTCCTACTGTAAAGAAAACACATACAAAATATATGGTGACATGTATACAATATAAACATTAATCCAAAAACATATGTTTCAGTCATTAAAATCTAAAGACCACTGAGAAGAATAGTACTCAAGACATACAACTTAAAGATTAACATACCTGCGAGTTACATGAACAATTTATCCAACTAGAATCTGGCACATACACACCGCACTCTTCTAGTGGAGGGAGCAGCAACTACCTTCAATTAGCTCCCATATTCCTGCCATTACACCTGCACAGATGTGAGGGAAGAATTTAATGCATGTGCCCACTATATGACAAACAAGCCAAGAACAATTCATACCTTAGTTGGGCATCGGCATCCCTCAAACAACTGTAGAGTCAGGGTAGGGTGAGGCAAAACCTACTGCTGACTGCTACACAGCTACATTTAAGGACTGAGAAGTGATTAGCCTCACCTGCTGACAATCAATGATTGCAGGGTGTGGCTAAACTAGAGTGGGGAGGGAACGCTACCCATCACATCAGCAAAGACAGATAATGTGTAATCGCAGTCATTCTCTCCTCACTCACTCAGCCCCTCTGATCTATGTTACGCAAGTATGCAAACGCAAAAGACAATCCCTGGCCCAGTCGCCATAACGGTATGACCCCGGTGAACAAAGACTTCATCCATAGTGGATACTGAAATTCAACCATATGCTACCAGCAGGTGGATTGTCTACTCCGGGTAGGGAGTGAGTCCTTACCCCAAGTGAAGGAGTTCAAGTACCTCGGGGTTTTGTTCACGAGTGAGGGTAGAATGGAGCAGGAGATTGGCCGGAGAATCGACCGCGGTATTGCGGTCCCTGTATCGCACTGTTGTCACGAAAAGAGAGTTGAGCCGAAAGGCGAGACTCTCGATCTACCGGTCGATCTTTGTTCCTACCCTCACCTATGGTCATGAGAGATGGGTCGTGACCGAAAGAACGAGATCCCGGGTACAAGCGGCTGAAATGGGTTTCCTCAGGAGGGTGGCCGGCATCTCCCTTAGGGATAGGGTGAGAAGCTCGGACATCCGCAAGGACTCGGAGTAGAGCCGCTTCTCCTTGGCGTTCGAAAGGAGCCAGCTTAGATGGTTCGGGCATCTGATGAGGATGCCTCCTGGCACGTCCAGCTGGGAGGTGGCCACGAGGCAGACCGAGGACCAGGTGGAGAGATTATATCTCAACACTGGCCTGGGAACGCCTCGGGATCCCCCAGTCAGAGTTGGCCGATGTGGCCAGGGAAAGGGAAGTTTAGGGTCCTCTGCTAAACTTGCTACCCCCGCAACCCGACTCCGGATAAGCGTATGAAGATGAATGCTACCAGCACTAGGCTAGACTTTTTTGGTTTTGTATGACTTGGTTTTGTATAACTGAGGTCTGTAATTATTTCACTGTTGATGAAATCACTGCATGAAGTGTGTGCACTTCCAGAGGGATGCTGGTGGTCCATTGGTCTTCAAGGATGGGGAGGAATACAGACTGGAGTCCTTACACTCAAGTAGCTTGTTAATTTGTGGTTATATCAAGATTTCTGACTACAGATACTGGATCAATTTGACCACCGATGGATTGTTGAGAAATGCATTAAAAAGCTCTCAGATTCCCAATAATTGAAGTTACAGTAATCAGTTTATCTTTATAACACTGAATAACTGATTATTATTCCTATTATTATTATTATTATTATTATTATTATTATTATTATTATAAGCAAATAAACAATTTGGGGAGAGACTGCACCACCAGGAAGGTCAGTGTAGAGTTATACGTAAAAAGTTAATTGTCACATATTATGAATAAAGCACACACAAACCAATTTGAACCAAATATAACCGTTAACTGTTAGCACTCAGTTTACCCATTCACGGAAACCTAAGGTGACTCAAACCACATACAGCACACATGCAAGATGGCTTGCATCAGCTGCCTTCAAGTGAGCCTCCCTACCACCTAGACTGCCCGTTACCTTCCCTTCCACATATACAAGCATTTTGTTGTCCAGACTTTAAAATGATTATTTTCAGATTGTTTAGGAATGAAATAAGACCATGTTGCTTTATTCCTTGTCCAAATATAGAATTAATTTATTCCACATAATCAGGCGTTCACATTCATCATTTATGCTGAATATTATTTGATATCCCAAAAATAAGTTGTGACATTCTTTTGATTCATTTCATTTTTTCATTTTTCTCTAGGTCAGGAATATCCACAGAACTATGCTGTGGTCAGTCTTTCCATATGCATATCCACAGCTGCATCTACAATTATCTTCAGGACATTAGAAGAGGTCATTCTCACCCTGGCGTACAGTATGAAGTGCTTTTGGTGAAGAATGAAGCCAGACGTGTCCCAAACTTGAGTCTTACACTTCCTGGGTTCCTCTCCAAGACACCTCTTGACATATTTGATCTCCATTTAGCCCTACTCATCTCTCTGTGCTCCATCACATTTCATCCCATCTCTTTACAGTACACAAAGGTCTTTTACCCCTCTATTCCCAGCACTAATTCATTCATCCCTACCTTACTTGTCTTTCCAACAGACTGGCCTCTGAACATATAGAGTTGTATAACATATATAATACCTAAAGGAATGAGAGGAATGCTATGCTGCTGTTTCACAATGCATGCAGGGGAAATGGTTAATGATATTAATCTATACTTCCTCTTCATCACAAACAAGATAATCAACGCAAGAGCATTTCAAATGGCTGTGACCAAGCAATACCTAGATAAGACCCAGAATAAACTGAATTCTGAGACGACGCTGCTGGACCAAAAGTAGTGATTTGATTTACAATTAATTAAAATGGAAGAGACTT